AGTAGCGAAATCAGATGTACTTACATGAACGGGAAATTTTTCAAGAATGATTTAAAAATATTTTTGCAACAAGATTGCCAGATTATAAAATATGAAAACAAAAGCGCAAATTGAGTGTAACTAGAGGAATTTAAAGTGCCGTTCTTACTGCATTGCTGAAGTGATTTGTTATGCTGTGCTAGTTACCAAGGATGGGCCCGAAATGGATGTGTGCAAGGTAATAATATACTGGACAATTTAAAAAGTTGACCATAAAAAATGTTAGAAAATAAAAATATATATATATATATATAAGCTAATTTTAGACAAGCTTTTTCGAATAATCTGAAAATTGAAAAGACCGAAATTACAAAACGTTAAAAATTTTATTTTCTTCAATTAAATGCTTACTACTTCCAAAAACATAGAAAGTTTTTATCGAGAGATTTCGCCCTTTATTACCACACAGCCCTTTATTACTTACAATTTTGTTGAAGAATAAGAAACTTTAAAAGGACCTAAACGACGGGTAGTAATCATAACTTATAAGATTTCCTTTTATAACCCATAAGATTTTATGGTTATGGCTGTATTATTAGAAACTGCAGAAGGCTTGAATGTCATATCTTTAGAGGTTAGCTTTTTCAAGGTCAACATATCAAACAAAGTTAACTTTTCTTTTGTGTAGCTGATTTTAAATCTGTCTGGACAAGTTATAGAATTCTGGAAGAATTCTAGATATGAATTCCTCTGAAGCTAAATTTCAAACTATCTGGAAATAAAAGAGACCTGATTTTATTTGAAACACTATCTAAAAAGACATTCTATATTTTATTTTATCTAGAAGAAAACGCATAATTCGTGAAGATACTTTTAAATTTATCTGAAAGATAATTCAATAAAATTACTTTTAAATTTTCTTTAAAAAAATGTTTTAGTTTTCTTAAAAATAATTAAATTATTGGATGCTTTTTTTAAGTGACCATATGGCCGATAAGGATATAAGTATGTCAGATTAGAGTATTTATGCACCTAATTTGGACGCAATTCTTTTTCAACCATCGTTAAAACGTATTTTAATTTGATGTCGTACCCTCTGCAAAACTAGAAAAGTAAGAAGTACCGCACTCATGTTGCTGGTACTTTTTATCATAAAATACATTTTTACTGGAATATGTTTCGGAACAAAACATCTGATGTACCCTAATTTTTACTGTTACAATTGCCACGAAATCACTGAATCATTCTAATTACATAAATATTGCTGCAACAGTTACGGTATAATATCTTACAGTGAAAATAGGTTTCACGATAAAATGGATTTTACTGATGATGTACGAAAGGTAGTGGTACTTTATATAGCAATTTGATCCGACATTTTTTAACTGTACTGGGAAAAAAATAAATTAAAAGCAAAGTGTCCCATTTTATAGTATATCCTTACAGAAGAAGTGCACATTTTCTCCGGAGCAAATATCTGCTTTAGCCTGCCATTTTCAGAAAAGATTACGAGGCATAATTTTACACTGTTTACGTACTTTGAGAAACATAAATTGCTTTATAATTGCATTTTAATTAAATTTGGTAATGTTTTAAAGCATTTTGCCATAACAGTTTAGTAGTTTATTGTTTAACTAATTCCAACAATTGTCAGACATCTTTTAGAGAGATGCTTTCTCATTTTAACTTTATTAAATTAATTACTAACTGTTATAATCTGTGCTTAGTTGAGATTTAAAATCATCATTTTAATTATAGCAATTATTAGTGTTGTTTGAATCATTAAAATTTAGACCGTTTTTTCTATTAACTAAAATATTTTATTTTTAATATTAATTCTTTGAGAAGCATTCAAGTTTAATAATTTTTTTTAATACTCAATATATTATTACGTATTAGGATATAAGTTTTTAAATAATAATTCTTCAGGTGCAAAGTGCAAACTGAAATTTTGATGATCGTAAGTACAAACATTCTTCTTAGATTGTTCAAATTTTTGCACACAGCAAAAAAATTCGGATCAAATTACGATATATCGCCACTTAGGGTGCTTCTTCCCTAAAATCCAATTTCACTTCCAAATATTAGGACGTAAATTTTATCGTAATACATATTTAATTAGAGTGATTCATTGACGTTATGGTATTTATTACTGTAAAAATTATGGTACATCTGATTTTTTTGTTCCGTAACATGTTCCGGTAAAAATGGATTTTACGTTCATATGTGGCGGCACCATAAATGCCGGTACTTCTCAGTATAATTTGATCCGAAATTTTTTGTAGTGCAGAGCAAATCATCTAAATAATTATTTTAACCGGCAATCTTATATTATATTTTGCAGCCGTTGTAGAACAATTAACCTAATTTTGAATTTGCGATTAAAATTGTTCACCTCTGTAGCCTTGTAATTTTGAACCGAATACAGAAGTCAAGGGAACCTCTGGATCAAGCATTGAGAGAAATCTTCCTTTGTGGAGGACAGTTTGTTGAAAATCACCCTTATTTGTGTTACATGGAGAGGAAAAACACGAAAACCTTCCATGGATAGAGGACTCAAACCCATGATCCATCTACCACTTACATCAACACTATGAACGGTGCGAAATCATATCGACCAGTCATCGCTGAGATTCGTATCCAAGCTACCTCATTGGCAGACGAGAGCTCTATCCACTGAGACATCACGGCTCTTTAATGATGGTTGATTGCGTCACTTTATATTTTCACCAAGGAAAATAATAGTTTTTGACTGCAATTTCCTGAGAAAAGGACAATAACAAACAAAGGAAATTTGACATTCATTTTGAGAATGCACATGAGAAAAATTATTGTTTTAAAAAACAATAGATTTTTCGGTGCAAATTTCTTAAATAATTTTAAGAATCCTTTGTAACGAAACATTTATTTTTATTTTTTTTATTTCTAATGGCAAGGCAAAAGGTACAAATAGAAAGATGAAATAAATAATGAATACAAATGTACGTAGGATAACAAAGAAAGAAGACCGAAGTCATTGCCTTAAAAGTTCTCTTGCTTCCCAATATCTTGAGGACTCAGTGTGTCCATGAAGGGCCCCACATAGAAGCAGGTGGTCCCTGCCCAATTTCTCTCCAGATTTACAAAGTTGACAAAAAGGCGTGGTGGAAAGGCCTATGCGGTATAAGTGAGCAGAAAGACAATCGTGACTTGTATATAAGCGGAAGGCCGTAACTGCATCACGTCTTTTTTTGTCGGGAATTAAGGAAGAGCTTACATTTCTCCAACTTTTCACAGCTGCGCGAGTCTGAAGGTCTTACAATGAGTTGGTTTTACATAAATTTTTAAGGAACAGTTTGATTTTCCAAAAGGAAGTTGCCGTATTTGGTTGTTATAGCAAATTGGCACCTTTCTTGGCAAGTAAATCTGCCTGCTCATTGCCCCAAACACCACAATGGGCTGGCACCCACTGGAGGACTATTCGTTTTCCCCTCAAAAATAAAGACCTCAAAAGGTCTTGACATCGGGAAATCTCAGGTGTCAAGGGACGTTTATGTGAGCTAATTGATTGTATGCCCGCCTGTGAGTCCGAGAAGAGAACTGCATTTTCAGATTTGTGTTGGAGGGCCAGTAGCTGCTGTAAGGCCGTACTCAAGGCCACTACTTCTCCATCAAAGGCGGTGCCAATGTATCCTGCTGGTACGTAGAAAGAGAAAAGTTCCGAAAAGACACCAGCCCCTACATTAAAATGGCAGTCAAATTGAGAACCATCGGTAAAAACATGTAGCCAATCGTCGACTGGGTATCTAACCGCCATTGTCTCCAGGGCAAGATTTTTTAGAATAATTGGAGCAACATCTTTTTTACCATGGACAGTTTTCACAAGATCCAAGTTTATTTCAACGTTTGTTATTTCCAAGGGGGTTTCAGGTTTCAAAAGAGGTAGTGCATGACACGCATTTATAACGAAACATATATGGTCACATTTTCACAAAAAAGGAAGAAAAAACTATATTCGACTGCCAATATTCGAAAGAATTTTTACTCAGAAATAAAATGTGAGATACAATAATAGAGAACGAAAAGAATAAAAATTAAATCTCAATCTTCTTCTGAATCTTAAAAGATTTAGAAGAACGACTCTGCAGTTTCTTAAAACATTTTTTTTAATTTGTTTCTTGCATCATTATACATTATTTCTGAACGTTACCAAAATAAATACTTACATTTGACTGTCATTTTTAAAGGAAATTCCTCGATGCAATTTTTAATTGTATTAGTATAACAAGAGTCATCGATAATTTTATAAATGTATTATAATTGTTTTAATTAATGATGTTTAAATTCATTGTTGCTAACAAGGAGATGATGACTGTTTAGTTCTAAATTCAGCGATTGTTCTGCTTCTTCTGTGATTGTTAAAAATGTCCTCTTTCCCTTATTCTTCTTAAGACAATAATTCATTATTTTATTGTGTGTTTAGTTGAGATTTGAAAGCGTATTATGATGGAGATGGCATCGTTTTAAATATTTTTTGCATCATTACATATTATGCCTTTTTTTACCCAACTTCTCTTCTCCTATTTTTGACTTTAATTTGGAAAAAAAATTTGCACCCCATTTTCAAAGTGTGGGTTTTAAGCAATTGGAATTTTATTTTTCTCCTTACAAGTTACAATTAATTGTTTATTGTATTATTACATATTAGGTTTCATTATTGCCAAATTACTTAGTTATTTGTGACCATTATAGTGTGAGTTTTTGTGATCAAATTTTTAAATAAAATTTCTACTTATAATTTTATATTTTATGCTTGCACTAAGGGAGATAAATTATTTTTAAATTATATTCTAGATGGAGAAAAAAAATCTGGCGAAATTGCAGTATTGTATAGTCATAACATTCTGCTTTTTTAAATCGTAATTACGATTAATAAAACTTAAACATACGTTTTTTAAACCATCATTTGGTTATTTTCCCTTTCGTATGACAACGATTTACTGGAATTTTTTGCTTTCAAAATTATAGTTCTTATTACCAAAAATTTAGCAAGAAATATAAAACTCGAAAGCAAATTTATAAGAATAAACTTTGTTTATGTCATGCTCTAAGATATCATGATATAATTATCAAATTTTGCCACATTTACAAAATTTTATTTCATATTATAACACTTTTTTTAACGGTTAATCTTACAAAAATATCTTCAAATGCGTTTTGGTAAAGAATGTCAAGTTTTTGCTTTTCTCATAGATTCAGAAACACGGTAAAGTTTACCGCATTCTGGTAATTCCGACAGGATTTTTTTCTCATTGTAACAGTTTTAAATATGAATGTAGAAATGCAAGATATTTAAAAATGTTTCCAAGATTTTTTTTCTAAATTTCTTTCTTAAATGTCTTTAAGTAATTATTTAGACAAAGCTAAACCAAAAAGCCTAAATGATATTTATAAAAGTGTTAATTTTTAATTTTATTTTTGTACTGGTTCCATTTTCATAACATAATTTTACTATATTGTGTTAACACTAGCAACAAACACTAGCATTAAACTAGTTTTGCTGATGAACTAGTATTATACACACTAATACACTAGCATTAATGCTAGTATAAAAAAAATTGCATAATAGCATTTATCTCTTACATAACAATTTAGAAGCAGTGTTACCAAAGTTTATATTTAACAAGTAACGAAATGGTGTAAAAAGTAATAAAAAAATATTTACTTTAATATTAAATAATTAAATTCTGAAATTTTAATCACAGTAAAAGGCCTCTTATACCTTAGTTCTTAGTTAATTTTACCTTTATTTTTACTTTCTTAAATTTTATTATTTCATTAAGATCTTAGTTTTTCTATTAAGTTAAGTGCAAACCCTGAGGAAGAAAAATATGTATAAATATTGTATGTTCTAAGCTTTTATTGAAATTTCTCTTGATTTTTCTAAATATTTAATTCGAATAAATTTGTTCACTCTTTTTGGAGATGTTTCTGCTCGTGATTTGAAATTTAATCAGTATTTTACTTTCTTCTTGGCATAAAAAAATGATTTCGAAATTTTTAGTATTCTGATCATCCGATTTGAAGGATTTTGATTGGATTTTTTTTTGTATTAAGAGAACTCTTAAAATAAAAATGTAAAGAGAACTTTGGATAGTTGATATTCTGCACTTAGTTCCTTTCTCAGGAAAAAAGTAGGATTAAATATCTCCCTTATTCTTTCTTTAAACACAGAACTAAAGAATCCCAAGGTTTTCATAATTTTTCAAACTATCGGGTTGTATTAATTTATAAAAAAAAAACATAATTTGGTAAGAAGTATAAAACAATATCAAATTCTTAATTTCAGTTGATAGCTACATGTGTAGCAAATAATTAGTTTGCGCTTTAACATATGCAATTTTGACAGTAATTTCTTTTTAATTCAGTCTTTATCAATTCCAAGGTCGTTATTATTTTCAATATTTTTTATTTAAATATTCCATATCATTTTCAAGCATTCAGTTTGAATTAATTTATAAAAAAGTCTTTTTTGGTAGGAAGTAAAATAAAATATCAAATTCTTAATTTTAGTTGAAGGCTGCGCATGCAACAAATAATTCATTTGCGCTTTAACATTTTCAATTTTGACGGTAATATTTCCTTAATTTGAAGTAAATATTAATTTAATTCGAAGTAAGATTAATTAAGAATGATTTAATTCGTAGAAGGATTTTAATATTCTTATTAAGAAACAATATTATGAAACATAATTAAGAGAGTAAAGTACAGACAATGCTTATGAAAAACTTTATCGTTAACTGTAACAATGTATATTTAATTTCAATTTCAAGAAATATATTTTAAAGAAGAAAATTTAAAAAAAATTATCTCTGATTACACAAGAATTCGATTTCCATAATGTAATAACCAGGCAGGAAAAAAGTAACCACAACAATACTATAAAATAAACAATGAAATGCATGAAATGATGATAAAACTTCTCTTTTTTTAATAAATTGATTTGACTTGAGCTAATTAAAAAACATCATTCATATCGACTTTCTAATGAATTGAATTTCATTAACATTACTGTCTGCAGGACAAAAAAAACGCCAGCTTTTGTTCTATTGATTGCACAATTAGAGAAACTACACACACAAAAATTGCAGTTTCATTGGATGGATAAATCTATTCATGATGTGCTAATTAGTTTCATTTTGAACTACTAATTCATTTACATACTTACAAGCTTCATTTGATTCATTTCTTAAGCATACAAGATGACAATAAAAATATTTAATAAGTGGTAGCATTGTGATGGTCAAGCGTAAAAAAATTTCAGTTGTAAAAATTGTGACGCTTTTAAAAACTTAGACGCAGAGGCAAACATTTATTTTTTTTTAGAAAAAGTTAAAAAGTCCATGATATGTTATAATGCAATTTATTTAAAATGTTTTTTTAATAGGTATACATTAATTTCCAAAATTATATTTTAAAAATATTTAACTTGACAAACTGGATAAAATGTGATTTCAATTTCATGGTTCATGTTTTTATGCATTCTTCCAATTTTTAAATTCAAAATTTATGAAAGCATTTTTAAAATTTTGATTCGAAGCCTAATTTTGATCTGAAAAAAAGCATTTTTTTATAAAATTTATCTTATATTTTATTAGATTATTTTTATACTGAAAAAATTACCTGAAGCATTATTAAAATGATTAATTAAATGTAGACAAAATTAGTTAATTGCATTGATCAGCTTATTATTTTATTAGTTCATTAATTATATTAGATCTTAAACTTACCTAAGCGAACAAGTACTGAAAAATCTAATTAACATTATAAAGCACAATTGATCTACACAAACATTTTAGTTATTTAAGTTATAGAAAATTATGGAAGTATCAATTAAGTTATAGAAATTACATTATATCCATTTACCGTTATACTGAAATATTTTAACGAAAAACTGAAGAAATATTTGCAAATTATATAACAAGTTAATTATTTCTTGATAAGCAGCTGCTAAGATTTTATTTGTTAAATCTTTAAAAATCTGAAAGAAAATGACATTTATATGATGGCTATTAATGTAAGATAGCTTTCATCTTTATATGAGCATCTCATAAAAATATTTTGCCTCCGTTGTATTTTGTTTCCTTGAAGATTACAAATAAATTTTATTTTTCCAATCAGCTTAAGATCAAAATTATAATTAGCTTACAACTTCCTAAATGCATGATAATAGTTCCTATACAATCACCTGAAAAAGTATTTTCTATGATGAATATTTGTTGTTCTATCACCAAAATTCAGTGCTCTTTTTGCATTTATTGCTTTAATTTATTTATTCCTGAATATTTTTAAATATGCAAAATGTCCTTAATGTTTTTGAAAATGTCAAACCTTAATAAAAAAAATAGAGCTTTAATATATGCCTTTAAAAATCAAACATTAATCCTTGTAAAACATAATGTTGTTTATAATTGTATGAATTTTTAAAATGTAAACTGTCTTTCAACTGGCAAAATTACAAATAAAGCGGTTCATAGTTTCCCTGTTACATTGCACTTCTTCATTTATTTATTATTCATTTATTTATAATTTATTTATTAATATTTCAGAAGAAAGAAAAACAAACTATAACTAAAAATATTAATATCTTAAGAAAGAATTACATGCAATTTATTATTTTTAAAAACTTAAATTTTTTTTATTCAATTCTATTTGACTTAAAAATGTTTTACTGAATTTTATTTCTTGAATTATTATTGAATTTTATTTCTTGAATTATTATTGAATTTTAGTCAGTGAATTATTATTGAATTTTAT